TTATCCTAAAGATTACCTGGGTGGTCTGTGCATATCCTTGAGTGGGCTGGGCGGTGTAAGCACTGTAGCTGTAAGAGAAATTAAATGCAAAAACTGAATAGAGAACATCCAGATTCCATTACTAAATCCTCTACAACTAGACAAAACTCTGTACTCTATAAAAAAACAACCAATCATATCCAAAGTACTGTTGTAAAAGTCTGACTTACCCCTGCTGGGCTGCAGCCTGGCTGTAGGTACTATAATCTAGAGAAAACAAGGAGAGAAGAAAATAGGGTGAAGCCAGCATTTACAAGGAAAAAGGAGGGGAGGAATTCAGGTGGCAGGAAGATGAGTATTTTTAACCTGTATTGAGAGGATCTACAGGACAACACAGGTCCATTCAAATGAGTACCTCTTATCTCTCAACACCAAACCAAAAAATAAGTCTAGGCTAGTTAACCTCAGAAAATTTGAATATACTGCTAGCTAATGATATCAAGGTCAGCTGATTTGGCAAAGATACTTTGCATGTTCCCATAACCACAAACCCCCCTTAACCACAGGCTGTCACTTCAAATACATGATCAACATCCTAAGACTAACAGAACAAGGTAAACCCAAGAAGATCTAAAGTTTTATCTTCATATAAAAAGAAGGCATGTAGGTGGGGAGGGTATAGCTCAAGTGGTAGAGTGCATGCTTAGCATGCACCAGGTCCTAGGTTCAATCCCCAGTACCTCTTATAAAAATAAATAAACCTAATTACCTCCCCCTGCACCCTCCTCCAAAAGGGCATGTAACAATATTACAATGTTGAACATGAGAATGGTTACATTAGTAGCTACATCTCCTCAAAAACTTTTTTTTTAAATCACTCCCTCACTTGAACAAGTTAGACCAACCATAACTTCCTCAGGACTGCGAAATACAGGGCAGAAAACAAGAGGGCAGTCATCTCAATCCAGTGCCCCAGAGGGTTTGCTGACTGTATCAGGGCTACATGTGTAGAATAACTAAAGAAACTAAAAGCATTATGAGTCCCAGCAAAGAAGAGTTCAGGCAGAATCATGCTAACTGGCAGAGGTGAAAGCATTTAATCTTTTGGGGAATAATCTGGTTTTAGAAGCATCTTTTAAAAACTCAAGTGACTCCAACTAAAAAATAACCCCCCCCCACAATTTTTCTTCCCCATCTCCCCTCTTTCTGAATAAACCATTCTAAAATTTTCCTTTTTGTATGACATTTACATGCACAGAAAGGGACTTATAACCCCCTCTAGTCTACGGAGGTGTCTACAAGAAGTAAAAACAGTAAGTTTTCATGGCACTACTAGATTAACATATATATTTTAAAGAAGTCAAAGTAATTATTTTTTAAAAACCCTGCCTAATTCTTTGCTCTCCACAAGAATTACACATCCTATTCTATGTTAGAAGACAATACTGCCATTGAGGCTGACCAGGTCTTTCCAATCACAAAGCAGTCTCTCATCTGCAAGAACATCTGATAGCTCTTCACAGAGGGGTTTCAATCCCTACTCTATCCAAAGTCTGCCTCACAGGTCACCTGGCCTGGCCGGAGGGCATTTTGCTGAACCCATCACTTTAAGGTGGCTTTCACCTCTCCACACTTCACTCGACCACTTTCCTTCCTCTGTATACCCTTAACTCAGAACCCTGAATCACCAATATTATCAAATCAACTGCCAAAGGTTATCCATAATGAACAAACTGATTTGTTCAACATAATCTTAGCTCTCTATGTGACAAAAAGTAAATGCAAATCACTTCTTCTCCGTGGTAGTCACAAAATAAACACACCAGTGAAGTATCAAAAATCAAGTATTCCAAATCGCTGACATGTTAAGTTCAAATGTTTGCAAGAGGATGTTGCTTTTTCACACAAGTGCAGTTATGTAAAATGTAAAACTGGCAAAGATGATACGGAACAACGATCTCAGATCAGTGGGAAACCAGTTGATTTAGCCCCATACTGGTGGGCTAAAGGAGGTAGCAAAAGAGTTTCATGAGAACTTATGTTATCTATCTACAGCATACAAATATTACATGGCTTCAAAAATCTACAGCTATACATTGGTCAGATTATTTAGTAGTTACGCTGTTCTTTAATTTCTAAACGTGCAGCTGAAGACTACCCTAAAAAATCAGGTCAGGTTGAGGAGAGAGGGGGCTGTGATCTAGGGGGGCCTCCAGAGTGCTCACAATGTTCTATTTCTTGGTCTGACCAGTGGTTACTTGGGAGTCTGTTGTAATTTTTTGTTCAAGTGGCCAGAAACTTAAAGTACTTTTCTACATATGCTATACATGAGGAAGAAAGCCATCTAGCATTATCCAAGGTGGTGGCTTTTAAAAGATACTTTAGGGCAGTCACAGTCCCAACTGTAGAGATTTAGAGCTCCAGACTACATCATGAGTTAGTCACTATGGGACAACTTCGTGGGAGCCAAAACGCTTTTCTGTAAGGTCAGAATCTAAGGGCTCAAAAAGCTCTTAAAAGGTCTAGCCTAACTCCTTCATTCTGAATGAAAGGAAACCAAAGTCCAGGTAAGTTACATGACTCCCCAAAGGTCCCCCAGCCAGGCCTAACTACTGTGTGCCTGCATAAACCACAACTGTAATTCTAATATAGTATGTAGGTGGTTACCAGTAAACAGTCTGAGCAAAATAGATAAAAAAAATTGGACTGTCCAGCCATACACAAATGTGAACACGTATTTACTCCCCAAACTTTAACAGGAAGGGAGAAAAGCACTCCCGCCTTACAGAATTCAAACATGGCAGGGAAGAGATAGGTGGAAAAGGAAGGTGCAAAGAGCTCTAAGGAAACCACTTCCCACCAAGACACAGTCTTGGATCGTGGTACTCATCTAGGGGAACCCTTTCCCTAGCACTAATAGCCAGTATCTACCTGCCTGCTTCCTGACCACACAGTTGGGGAGAGTTCTTAAAACTGTCCTTCTGCTGGATTCTGGACCCGTTTCAAATGAAAACTGAAGGACCCAGAGCTTTCCCCGTCTTCCCTCTGGTCTTCTCCAACTGCTTCTAATGCCTGTAGTCTGGCTGCCTAAGAATACCCCCAGAAGCAAAAATGCCCCACCCTACCAATAACCGCAGGTTAGTGCAGGAACAGGCTGCAAACCGCAGGTCGTGTTTAGGCTACACTCTTAAAACACTCCGAGCAGCAAGGACCACCCCACACATCATATTCGAGTTCCCACACCCGGCTTTCTTTCAAAGTCCAGTACGCGGCTCCTTCCCCCCTCTTCTACCAGTCCACGAAATAAACAAGCCTCTCGGCTTAACCTAGGCGAATGAATAAACGTGCGAGACGATTACTTAAGCAAATTCATATGCCGATTGGGGCCTTTTGTTTCTCCTAAGTCAAAGAGGCCAAACATTTCTTTCGGTGGGGATTTCTGGCCTCACAATGCGGGCTGGCCTTATTATACAAGAGATCTCCCTCGGCGTTTACTGAAAAATGGCCCTGGGAAGCCACTTAATTGCTTTTTGGGTAAGGAAGGACAATTAATAATGGTAAAAATGAAGCCAGAAGAGTCAGCCGATTGGGTGGCTGTAAATGGGAGGAGGGGGGCACTCCGTCGAAAGCCCAATCGGGCAGAAGTTCGGCCTGGAGCTGGAACCCGCCGAGGGGGTAACTCGGCGACCGGTCGCCCCAACCGACCCGGCATTAAGGATGACAGGGCTCCCGCTCATAGGTCGGCGCCCCTCGGCTCACAAATCCGAAAAGCCTTTTTTTGTTTATTTGCTTGTACCCCCAGGCTTGGGCTGACTCCTTGGAAATGGAAGTTTAGGTGGGGAGAGTCACATGGGCACTGGGCCTGCGGTTT